ATCTAATAGTAGTAGCAGTAAGGGGGTTGTCTACTAGACACTTTCATCCCAAAAAATATTTTGAAAATGATACTGTATGTTTATGATTGTTTTTTTTTTGAGGGGGTGGGGGGGGGGTTTACTTTGTCCCAGTGTTTCTTTTCTCTTCTTTAAGGCCATATTTGGGACTGAATTCACCTTCTTGCTATCTGCCTATCCTATAATTATCTCTTTTCTCTTCTTTAAGGCCATATTTGGGGCTGAATTCACCTTCTTGCTATCTGCCTATCCTATAATTATCTCTTTTCTCTTCTTTAAGGCCATATTTGGGGCTGAATTCACCTTCTTGCTGTCTGCCTATCCTATAATTATCTCTGCGGATATGACGCCTGATTCCCCAATCAATAAAGTGAAGGTGTGAGGATTGCATGATCCGGATAATGGTGTTTTTGTTCTTTGGTTTGTTGTGTGTAACCTCAGGTTGTTGTTGGAGAACTCAGAGTCTCAGATTTCTTGGCATGCTACTGTAATTGATAGCTCTGATGAAAAATAATATTTTATTTTGAGGACAAAATCATCGAAATACATGTGTCATAGAAGAGGGAAGGATCAGAGGAGGAGTGAGAGGTTTTATGTTTGTCACATTTAAGAAAAGAAGTTGATGTTTTTTCTACTTGTGATGGTGAAAGTTGATAATAAAGAATTGTTATCTTTCCGAGACATTTGGCATTATATAGTAAACAAGCTCTACAGCCTGCCTTTGCATGATATCAAAGATTGTAAATAAACCATGTTAAGAAATGGTACATGAAAATAGATAAAAAAAACACCTAAAAGTGTGATAGAAGTTGCAAAGTTTTGAGATAATTTCAAATGCGTACATGTGTACTACATGTCTGATTACTGCGTACAAACAGTATTGTATTGCCTGCCTGGCGTAGATAACTCTGTCATTGTCCAGGGAAACCTGTGCAGTGATATTTTGTATGTATTCTGCTTGAATAATTTGTAGAACAAAATCAGGTATAGAGTACCAGATTTATTAATATTAATGAAAGTCTAAAGAATAAACACAGACTTCCTGTGCTGTTATATAAGATTTATATAAGATTGCATTCTTGTAGGTGCCATCAGCCTCTTCTTGAAATTTTTGAGGAACTTTTTGAGTTATTGTGTCCATAAATAAGCAAATAAGTATGTTGTCCATAAGAAACAAACAATCAATACAAAGCCTATGAAAACATGAGACCTTTAACGGGCAGAATAGATGGCATTGCAGGGCTTGACATTAAGGGTGGCCCACTGGCCCCTTGGCCACTGAAAACCAACCTAGGGCCATTGAATCGATGGGGTCTCTGGCCCAAAGACCAAGTAAAGTGTCATGTTTCAAATCATCCTTGCAATATTTACCGATATCGCGGGCCAGTATTGAAAAAAGTAAGTGTCAAGCCCTGCATTGAAGACTATCTAAATGTGGCAGCTAAAGAACCAATCCCAGACCCTGTCATACTAACTGTGGATTGATCTATCCCCAAATGGATTCTCACTAAATTGCAATCAACTTAAGTGGCTTAGTGGTCTGTCATACCTACTGAAGCTGCTAGGGGGTAATTAATTGTCCTTTAGCAGCTTCAGTAGGCGTACAAGACATCTAAGCTGCTTAAGCTGAAAGCAATATACTTAGCGAGAAACCCCTTGGAGATGGATCGAAACTGTTAGATTGAGCTAGGTATGGAAACCCAGTCTAAGAGCTGAGGATTCTTGCTCTTATGTATCAACCAGTGAATGCGAACTTTTCTGAAAATATTGCTTTTTCCAGAGGAGAATGTTGCTTGGTGACGCCACAGTCAGCCATAAGCTTAATATTGATTTTTTAGGAATTTAGAGAGGAATGCTGTTATGGAAATAAATTGGTCTGGATTGACATAATGTTTGATTTTAATCTCTTTTATTTACAAAGGCATACACAGATTAATGGCATGTTTTGAATGTGTGAATTAGTGGCTGAAATGGCAAAAAAGTAGGGAAGTATACAAAGTATACATATATAAGTACTGATAATAACTTGAAAATATCACTATTTTCTAATTTCTACTGATTTATAAATTTCAGGATTTATAAAATACAGCCTTGGTCTGCTTTCTTTCAAGCTAGTTTTTTTACACATTTACAAGTTTATTTTTTCAAGCTCTACTAACAAATTAATGTTTCGGGATATATGAATAAGAAGTGAATTAGTTTTTAATTGAATTTAATACATCTTGATGTATGTGGAGTCAATGAACATGTTAATAATCAGACGGTTGAGTGAAGGCCAATGAAAAATGAGTTCATTTAGTTTGAATGATACACAGATTTGCCATAGAGAAGGAATTACCAAAATGATCATTCTTTCCAGCCTGACGACCCCAACTTTGCCTCCCAGAAGCGTGTTTACGATGACATCGGCATCGAGATGCTGGACCACGCCTTTGAAGGGTACAATGTCTGCATATTTGCGTATGGTCAGACAGGGTCAGGGAAAAGCTACACCATGATGGGGAGGAACGAGACTGGGGAAGCTGGCATCATCCCACAGGTAACTTCAAGAAGTTATAGTGTCAACATTTTTTCTAATATATTTTATCACAAGGAGTGTTAGGCTGTCATTTTTTGTCCCTACTGATGTATGAGCTATTATTTGATGTTGGATGAAGAGTCCAAATGTACATTTCATTTTCTGTTTATATGTAATAATAATAATAATATGTGATTTGATGGCTGACTTGTTGATTGTATAAGTTGTTACTGTTATTATTATTATCATTTTTTTTTCCATATTTTAATGTCGCCAGCTGTGTGAAGATCTATTCAGGAGAATGGTGAATAACATGTCTCGGGATGAAGACCTCAAATACTCAGTAGAGGTAAGGGTTGGACATTTTATTACCATGGGGTCCCTGATCCAGCAGGTGTTTTAGGGAAACAAGATGCAGGTAGTGTCTTAAGAAGGATATGCTGCTAATGGCCTTCAACCATTTATTAACATACTTGTATTTCTTTCAATAACAAAGAAGAAGGAATTGCACATGTACAGATGTTTGAAGCCTGTGCTTAAATATTTTAAGATTTGATAATTGATAATTGATAATTGATATTGATAATTTTATTTTCAAAATAGGGGACCATTCCCAGACCCAATAATATTTACTGTGGATCAATCTATCTCTGAGGGGATTCTTGCTTAATTGCAATCAACTTAAGCAGCTTAGGTGTCTGTCACGCTTCTGAAGCTGCTAGGGGGTAATTAATTATCATTTAGCAGCTTCAGTAGGCATGCCAGACATTTAAGCTGCTTAAGCTGAAAGCAGTTTAGTGAGAAACCCCTAGGAGGTGGATGGATCCCGTTAGATCGATCTAGGTTTGGAAAGTGAGCCCTAGACAAATGAAAAGATATATTTTATTAGTCTGTGTCCTGTGTCGTAGGTGAGCTACATGGAGATATACTGTGAGCGCGTGCGAGATTTGCTCAATCCTAAGAACAAGAACCACCTGCGCGTGCGTGAACACCCTCTCCTCGGCCCGTACGTGGAGGATCTGTCCAAGCTGGCCGTCACCTCCTACAAGGATATCAATGACCTGATGGATGAAGGCAACAAAGCCAGGTGAAGAAAACTTCTTCTTATTATTATTATTATTATTATAGATTACTGGTATGCACAATGGGAAATGGCAGTTTGATTTCCCTCCTGCTTCCACCTATCTTTCCTTATTGCAAAGATTTTTTTTTTGATAAAATGACACAAGTTGAGTCGTTTTGTAGTTATTTGTGAGCCTCAAAGTGTTTACTAAGGAGCAGTAAGAGGTGAGGTGAAAAAGCTGATGGTAAATTAGACCCCAAGATATTCCTAGTCTAACTGAATTTTTATTTTACTTCAGAACTTGCTCAACTGCTAACATAAATGAAACAGGTATCAGGTTACATGTTCTGCTCATGCAGAATTGCTTTAAAAATTCATAAATATGAAGTGAAGATTAACTCTAAACCTCTTTTTATTGGTTTTTTTTATAGAACCGTTGCTGCCACTAACATGAATGAAACAAGCAGTCGGTCCCATGCAGTGTTTACTATTGTATTCACGCAAAAACGCTTTGACAAGACCACTAAGATGACAGGAGAAAAGGTAGGCATCTGGGTGTGTTTCTGGTCAAGTTGGGACAGTTCATCTTTGTAACAAGTGTGTTTCTGGACAAGTTGGGACAGGCCATCTTTGTAACAAGTGTGTTCTAGACAATTTGTGATAGCCCAGCTTTGTAACACTGCCTCAGCAGACTGAATGATTACAATTATATGTAACCACAGGAAGCCAATTCAGCAACTTATCTCAATTACGGTGGCAGTGGGTGGGACAGTTAACGGGATTCATGTGTTGTTTCCTGTGGTTAAGAATCTGATTAATATTTTTTGCAGAGTAGGATGCGCAGAGATATCATAGGTTTAGCATGCACTTTCACAACCTGGCTAGAAATGCTATCAATCAGGAAAAATTTGTAATTTATACATCGTTGATATCTTCTTTTGGCTCCTATGCTAAGATAGCATATTGTTGGAAATGACCAGAACTTTATCCAGTCTGTTCTACCTGTTCTAATACATTATATTCAGGATTTCATATGCAAGTGTGTGTGTGTGTGTGTGTGTGTGTGTGTGTGTGTGTGTGTGTGTGTGTCACTGAAAGTTATTTTAAAGTTGCCCATGAGCTAAAATCCTTGCTTGTAATATTTACATTTAATAAATTTATCTTTTTAAATATAACAAGAAGCTTTCAAATTCTAGCTAGTATATCCAGATTTTCTTTACAGAACCATCTCTTTATATTCATACAGGAAAGCATGGAATGTATTAGTATTTATTTGGAAATGATTCAAATTGTTTACTTGTAGGTGAGCAAGATCAGCCTTGTGGACTTGGCTGGCAGCGAGCGTGCCGACTCCACCGGTGCTACAGGAACAAGGCTGAAAGAGGGCGCCAACATCAACAAATCTCTCACAACCCTCGGAAAAGTAATCTCAGCATTAGCTGAAATTGTAAGTGTTCTTTACTTTTTTCGGATCATGTATTTTTTTCATTAGGCTGAGGGGGAAGAAACCACATTCACCTTTTTCATTTATTTCAATTTCTGCATAAGGGCTTAACATTGGTTCTAAGATGTCAAAAATGGCCAGAGAATTCTTTTTTTTTTATTCACTGGACAATTTGCTTTATTTAATAATTAACACTTTCCATAGCTGGCTTTTTTTCACGTGTGTATTTTTTTNCAGTAAACTGTTAATTTTGTGTTATGTTAAAAATTATAAAAAATAAAAAAAAAACATTTCAGAACAGTGCTGTCTTGTTTACATTTTGGCATTTTCAAGTTGTGACTTGAAGTTCCATGGGCCTGAAGACCTTTGCTAGTCACATTTTCTGAATATCCATAATACTAATATTTTATTATTAAAATTGATGGTCATTATGCTGTTAAACATTATGTAATATTGCATCAAAATTTGAAAAAAAGTATTTTGGGCACTGCTGCCATGAGGACCATTATGGGAAAATCATGTTACTTATGATTGCCTTACTTTCAATAAAAGAAATACAGGACTTAAATGCAGCCTGAGTTGGAAAAGCAGTCTAATTGGCTTCTTTTTCTGGAAGTTATATATATACAAAGTGTGAACTTGTTACACATTTTACTTACATTGGTATTACCTGTTGAGCATAATTAAAATTTGATGTTGAATTTGCAGTTTAACATAATGTACTTTTGCATCAGAATTGACAGTAGCCTATTTTGTGCATAGTTATTTCCTGTTTTTTGTCTGTACATTTGACAGCTTTGCTGCCTTGTTTTCTTAGAGTTCTGCTCACGTTTTTAATCTAGCAGATTGAGATGTTCAACTTTCTTTGCTTACCACTCCCGTGTATAACTGCACTGGGTGTGTTAGTGGATTGTCCACTTTTGCTTCATAGTTGCTATAGAAATTGCCATTGACATTTAAGAGATAGATTGTCTTTTTCATTACTATCCTCTAGTTAATCAATTTTCTCTGACCTCATATTTATGACTTTAGCAAAGACTGTTTTGCTTGTAGGCATTTCGTATTTCTATATTGGCATCAGAAAGTTAAAGAGTTTGAACTCTTCATTACCCCCTATTATATATAAGTTGGCCAATGCTTTACAATATTTGGACATTTTACATTATTGATATATGAAAGAATTTTGATTTTGAAATGGATATTTCTACATATTTCTTATATGATAATACTGACTGAATTTTAAACTTGTGACTGAATTGAGAAATTGCTTGTTTGTTTGCAGTATCATTAATTTTGTTCAATATTTTTTTCATAAAACGTTATTTTGATCGGAATATTATTATAATTTAATTTAGGATTACAAATTTTTAAAACTATTTTTAAAAACATTTCTTCAGCACGTACTCAGATTTGTATAATTATTAGAGTCAGTGTTATTTGTAATTAGTCATTCTTCTTTTCTTATCATTAAACTGCAGTATAATGTATTCTAGCTAGTATATCCAGATTTTCTTTACTGAAATGGCATGGGTTTTTTAAAAGCTGAAGAAAAAATATCTGGACCCTGTGTTTCACATGTTGAAGAAAACTAGTTGTGACTTTTTTCTACTTGTTTATAAATGTGCTTATTCAAATCGTTTCCTTCTTGACTTTGTCATTTCAGAGTAGTTTACCAGTAAGTTTCATGTTCGGATGTTCCGTGTGCCTTCAAGTAGCATGTTGTGTGTCTAAATGGTAGCATACACAGGCCCGTAGCCAGGGGGGTTTGGGGGGTTCGAAAGAACCACCCCTTTGGCCGGGAAAAGGCCCACTTTGGGTAAAATTTGCTCTAGGTACATGATGTTTTTATGGAAAAAGGTCCACTTTTTCAGAAAACGAACCCCCCTTTTGAAATTGCTGGCTACGGGCCTGATACATGTGTGATGTAGTTTAGATAGACTGGTAGCTTGATTCAAGAAGCCTGGAGTTGCCAATGTCTTCATATTCTTGTGTCACTTTGTTAATTTGTCATTTCATGTGCACAATTTTAGAAAATGATACCCATATGACAGTCATTAGCTAATGCAGGCTTCTTGTACCAGGCACTTTTTTATACTGGGTTCACACTTAAAAGGGCATCCCAGTTCACATCAGGTTTTGCTTAGACCAAAAATATTCTAATTGACATCAAGTGTGATTGGGTGAGGGAAAGGTTTGGCAGAATCCTTATATGCAATATTGCGGTTTGTCAGTCCAATTTTTGGTCTAAGTTAGATATGATGTGAACGATGCCACCGCCTCGATGTAGGTCTTTTCCCAGGGTTGAGATCAGTTCTGAATAACTTGTTCTAAAATACCTTCATTGTCAGAAAGCAGGCTGGCACCAGCCCAGCACAAGTCTACCTTCAAACTACAAGATAAGAAATCTTTTGTAGTCCTTTGCTCCTTCCAAGGTGCAAAGACCTCTGGTAAATCCACTGACTACAAAAATTCTTTATTAAATTGTGTACAATTTTCTGAGGAAATGAAAAATCCAATAAAAAAAAAGACTTTCAAGAGACCTCTAAGTGTGAGCCCAATATTTTGTTTGCTTCACTATTACTATTACTATTTACCAGAATATAAGTATGCAAGCATTGTTTTCTTTTCTGCATATATATATATATATATAGTCATGTTTGTATCTTTGGTTAACGTAGTAGATTTAGTTGATCAGTTTGGAACAAATTATGAGTTTGCTCTCTGTTACCTTGATTAGTGATCAAAGATCGTCTTTTTCATCTCTTTAATTTCTTTAATTAAGTACAGATAGCAGTAATAAAACTTAGCGGCAATTTCTCTGATTGCAAATCAATTCATAAAGTAGCACACATTTATCCCAAGGATGATTATGAACTTAAAACGTCCTGCCTTGCTGTACCTTGCGTACGGGAACATTGTATTGGGGTGTCTTAATTCCATGCATTCATTGCACGCTATTCGTCATATCTGTGGTCAAAGTTGGACGGAAAAACGAGTATCCAAGTTGTATGTGAAATCCCATTGGTCAAAAATCATGTGAATTTTTGCATGTGCAATCCTGTTGGTCAAAAAAAGGGAATTATGAAAGCACTCAATGAGCATTAGACGTCTATAAAGGGAATTTAAAAAATTTTTGGCACTTGTATCTGAATCACCTAAGAATATACCAGACAAAATTATGATCTAGAAATATGTATTTGAGTTTTAAGTTTCCAATTGTTGAGTTATATGCACCATCATAATTGAGATGGAGAAATTTATGATGTATTGCTGCAATACTAAGGATTATAGCTCCATCTTTAAAAACTTGAACATTTGCAGATCATACTTCATTCAACAGTTCTGGATTTTAATCATTTCAAGGATTGAAAAGGGCATTTTTTGGTGTTAAAGAGGAGTTTGTTGAAATTTTCAGGAAAAATGTGAATTTTGTGCCTTGAAATACAACTTGGTGACTGTTACCTCTTTTCTGTCTTATGCGTCACTTTTTGGGGAGGGTCTGTTGATATCTATAGCACTGCTTCCAATGAAGTCACTCCATTTGTAAAAATCAATTCAAGTGAATTCAGCTGATCTCACATTAGACGGAATAAATGACACACATAAAGTGAGATCGAAGTAGGCACAGAGATCACGATAAACTTATTAAAGTATCACGCACGACAAATCATGAAATTACCAATTGGAAATGATTGCACGTGTATAAATGTTAATTGATGTCATTGCACGTGTATAAATGTTAATTGATGATATGAAAGAGATGTTGTGATTGGTTGAATGTCAGGTAATATTGCAAGGTTGTGAATTCCACCCACCAGGGGGCAGAACTGTGTTGCTGTTATATGTTTTAACTATTATTATTTACTCAGTACTATAACAATTATACAAAAAGGCTACATGTATTACCAAACATTTGTATAGTGAAAAAATAGTTTTCTAATGAAGACTAATTATTATGATGAATATTTAGAATTTGACCCAGTGGTAGTTGAGTGCTGTTTGGAAAGGTTGTTAATTAATCAAGGGAAGCCAAAATGAAAACATAAAAGAACACTGTAGGTTGGAACTGGCTTGTGGAAATAGAATAGATGGCAATGCACTGATACTGTCCATGTTCAGTCATTTTCACCAGAGAACACGACCTTGTTAACAAAAAAATCTATCATTTACATCAAAATTGGTTCACAATGTACGTAATGTAAGTGAATTTGCAGTCAGTAAAGACGTCATTCTTTCCGTGGCAGGCATATGGACAAAAAAATCAATATCTGCTGCTGTTCTGATGTTGAACAGGACTCCAGATGCATGAATAAACGTTGCTGTGAGGTTAACATCAATGTAAATACTGGACTGATGTTTTTTATCATACAGTACACAATCATATGGCACTGCTTGAGGTGTACCTGTAGATTTTTATACATAAAAACACTTTCCAATTGTACAGTGTTAATGCTGATTTGCTCTGTTGATGCCTTTGACAGGTCCAATCACTAAAGTTGAGTTTTTTTTTTTTTTGCATTTGTGTAGGTTTAATTTTTAATACCCAGCATGGCAATTATGAAAAAAGATAATGAAAATGAAGAAATAAATAAATAGATAAAATAAATAAAAAGATATCATTTAACACTGCATCTTGCTGTAAATAGTAGATATTTTAAGTAATCTCTCTCTGTTTCCTCACCCTTGCTCCGTCGCTATTTCCTAACTCGGATGTTTTTTCATGTAACATACTCCACTGTGACCAGTTTGGTACATGTATGCACTGCTTTTGTATGGTTATTATCACAAACAATACACTGCTTGTTTAAGGGACCATTCCCACAGATATTTGGATCTATCTATCTCCCTGGGGAGTCTCACTAAATTGCTATCGACGTAACTGGCTAAAATGCCTGTCACGCCTAGTAAGGCTGTTAGGGGGTAATTATCTTTACACCCTGGCTGATTCGGTAGGCGTGACAGACACGTTAGCCTCTTGAGCAGATAGCAATTTAGCGTGAACCCTCAGGGAGTTAGGTCGATCCAGATGGATCGATCTAAGTATGGGAACCCAGTCTAAGACTATCTGACCCGTCAATCACTAAGATGATATTATAAGTAAGATATAATGAGTTTGTGATGTGGCTTGTCTTGTTAAATAGTTACTGCACCCTGGTGGCTGGCACCCTTCTTGATAACATATTCAGAATGCTGCCAATATTAACTTGACAAATAAATAAGATTGTGAAATGTTTCATTGTTGATATGATTGTGTTTTAGATGCTGATCAACAAATGATTGTATGTTCATTGGTATGGCTTGCAAAGTTCTGAATGTTAAATACTGGTGAAACTTGTTGTTACGATGGATACATTGTCACACCTAACACACTGTCACATCTAACACATTGTCACATTCAAATCTTTTAAACAAGATAAGGAACAAGAAATGCGACTTTTGGATGGTTTGCGTGAAACTATTAGATTAGCAGATTTAAGTGTGGTTAGAAGTGCAGTGTAGAATACCGGACATTTTTGTCAAATTTAAAACTTGGCAAGTAAGAAGTATGAAAGTTGCAATATTCTGTAATTTTATGTATACAATATTGAAATGTGGAGAAGAATACTACATGGAGAATTTATATAACGAAAGTGTAAGAACAGAAGCTGCAAAATTACTGTCAAAGATGACAGGAAAAAACACTTGAAAAAATAATGTTATCCTGTTGACTTTCTTCTATCCATTCAGCCCTTGTTTTCTGTATATTTTCAGACGAATCACAAGAAGAGAAGAAAAGCTGATTTTATTCCTTACAGAGATTCTGTATTAACATGGCTGCTGAAAGAAAACTTGGGTAAACATGATAGTTATTTGTTAGATATATTTATGTTAATAATGCAAATACTCTAATCACTTCTTTCACTCTTAACTGTCTATACTTAAATTTTCATAAATATTTGAATATCTTTTGAAACAACATGTCTACATTTGTACAGACATCCCAACGCCATTGAAAGCATCTCTCCTTCATTGGTAGAGGTACTGATTATCAAACTTGTAACAAGTACAGTTTGAACAGTTTAGTTTATTCACATTCACTGTGGTACAAACAGTTTAGAGAACATATCACAGTACAAACATGGGCTTGGCAACACGAAGGATTGACCCCCTTGTTCACTGTTTTGATAAATTTGCACAGATTATTAACTTTTTTCTTGTTATATATTTTCCAGGTGGCAACTCCAAGACTGCTATGGTGGCAGCTCTTAGCCCGGCTGATATTAACTATGATGAAACTCTCAGCACACTCAGGTGAGATCTTGTCTTCTTATTATTGGCTCTTAACTGATCCGCAGCACATAGACCTGTCATATGAAATAAAGAGCAGGAGATTACTGTTGTTATACCATGTAGTGAGAATAACAGGTGACGGGATGCCAAGAGTTGCCCTTAGATGCGCACAGCCTATGATAAGAAAAAGAAGAATGTCAAAAACAACCAGGAGCAGAATGAAGATGAATTCCTCCGTTGAGGTGGGACTTTCATGAGGTGAATGTCAGATCATGTCACAACACAAGGCTCAGTGGCCTCATATTATTGCCACCATATGTCCCTGGCATTATGATGAGGATAAGGTGGTTACTTTACCTGTTGGCACCTTGGTATGGCCATTTGAAACTGAAGCATTGTTAGGTGACTGACAACCCTGGGGATGTTGACTTATTTTTCAAATAATACATCAATTAGAGCTGGAACTCAAAGCTACTCTCTTCCTATTTGGCTGTAATGAGTATGACCTATAAGTGTTCAGTTTATTCTTGGAAATTACAGATAACATGGGCTAATTAAGGCATCAGAGCACCATAAGGCTTTGGAAGCATGTCGACATAAAGAGCCATTGCAGCAATTGTAAAATGAAAAAAAAAATCAGTTATAATTCAATATTTTCTTTCCTTCTATATCAGTTTTCTGACAAATTTTTCAAATGAGCAGGTTTTCAAAGACGCAGCAGAGTTGTTTGTTAAGAATTATAATACATTGAAAATATCATTTGAGAAAGATTTTCAAAACAGGAACACTTTTTAAATATGTGATAATTATGCAATGTGTCAAGTACCATGCAAGGCACACGGTCTTCAGTTCCCAGGTTACATTCCAGATACGCTGACCGTGCCAAGCAGATCGTCTGCAAGGCTATCATCAATGAAGATCCTAATGCCAAGCTGATCCGAGAACTGAAGGAAGAGGTTCAGAGACTGAGAGAGCTCCTCACCAGTGAAGGCATTGAGATTCTAGATGGTAAGGGGGTGTTTTTCCATAGGGAAAAGTGGGTGCAGTTAGAGCTTTCAGCTTTAATTTGTATCAAATTCTTCACTTATTCTAGTGTTACATATTTTCCAGATTTTATTTATTTTTTTTTTAACTGAAAAAATACTTTTTGACAGTGCTATGGAATAATCTTTTGAAGATATTAAAGATAAAACATTGTTTAAGGCTGGTGATANCAATAGGCCTATTGTCTAGAAAATCACAGGAGTGATCAATGTTAGGAAAATACAGGCCAATTGGAAAATCCGCTTGATTGGACCATTTTTATGTTATGTTTTTTCTTTCTTTTTTTTTTTTTTTGCATGTTTTGAAAATTCTTGTTTATTGCATAGAGCTTGTCAAGGACAAGACTGGTTGTGGTGTCCCTTTTTTTTTTTTTTTTTTTTTTTGGGGGGGGGGGGGGGTCCATTCGAATGCGCTTACTCCAGCTGGTGGTACAATATCCGGAGGCGGTATCGCCTCTCTGATCCTCTAGTTTGTATCAAATTCTTCACTTATTCTAGTGTAACATATTTTCCAGATTTTATTTATTTTTTTGATAACTGAAAAAATACTTATTGACATACTTATTGGAGTCATCTTTTAAAGATATTGAGAATAAAACATTGTTTAAGGAAATATCATTAATTGATTCTGTTTAGATTAAGTAATTACTTAATTGCCTTGTGTTATCAAAACAGTATATTATTCGTCATCCCCTGATACTATCGTGTATCTCCCATGATAATTCCAGGCAACCAAGTATCTCGTAGTCGTAAATCCTCCGTAATGATGGATGACGGGGAGGATGCATACGAACGCCTGAAAGAGTCTGAAAAACTGATCAAAGAGCTAAATGAAACATGGGAAGAGAAACTGCGCAGAACAGAGGCTGTGCGTCAGCAGAGAGAGGCTGTACTGGCAGAGATGGGTGTGGCTTTACGAGAAGATGGCGGCACCCTGGGAGTGTTCTCGCCTAAAAAGGTATTTTAAAATAAATCGATGAACTTTAGATGTTAGTCTGGTTTTGTTCAAAGTTAAGGCAATTTAAGAATGTTGTGTTGGGCAAAAATGTGTAAAGGATGTATGTGTTAAAAACAAAATGCCACTTTTTTCAATTTTTCGGAATTCAAAGCAGAGACAGATAAAAAGATGTTGAAATGTTTACCTGAAAGGAAATCATATTATTGCCTTTGCAGGATAAATTGTATAAAAGTGTATTGTGATTATTGATATTTTAATACTATATATTTATACAATATTAAAATATTGATTTTAGCACTGGCACAGATATGTTTTTGAATTGCCCTTAAAAGATATTTCACTTTGTGATTTTCATAAATGATCCTTATTATCTATTGTACAGTATAACATAATTTGTTTGGAGCTGTCAATTTTACTTTCAGTTTTGTCAATTTCACTTTCACTTTCATTTTAGACTCCACATTTGGTGAACCTGAATGAGGATCCTCTGATGTCTGAGTGCCTGCTGTATTATTTGAAAGATGGCATCACCAGGTATTTTAGCTTGATCCAGAATTGATTTTGTGCTAGTAGTAATAGTGATAAATGTATAATACTGTAATAAAAAGAAGAACCCATTTGATTGATAACCAAATGTTGACTTAATTGGAAATGAGGAATAAAAATCTCTTTCTATAAGAAATTTTCCAAACTTCAAATAAACACAGAAATAGTTGTCTTAGAATTAGAATGATATAAATGGTTTATAACATTCATACAAGTTGGGAAAAACATACATTTAATGTAATGTATAAGACAATTAATTTTTTTTTTGTATCATGTAATATACATGTTTTAAAAATGCCAAGCATCTTCAGAATATATTTCATTACATATATACATATATATCTGTTTTCAGACTTGGTCGTCATGATGCCAAGGTTTTACAAGATATCCAACTGAATGGAGAACTCATACTGGACGAACACTGCATGTTTGAGAACATTGAAGGTGCTCGTTACAGTTAACCCTACATTAAGCAGGATGTTCTTGCCCTGAAGTATTCTTGTGGAGTTAATTGCGCGCATTTTCTTGGAACTATTGCAATTGTGTCTCCTCAGAAATTGTTTATTGGTCAATTTATCCAGAATTATTTTAGTTCAGTTTAGTTTATCATGGATTTATTAACTGTTTTAAGTGTTTCACACTCATTATGTGAATAGCTAATATACATTTCTAGTAATTTAAAAGTAAACCTGACAAACACTCACTCCTTAATATTAATTATTATTAATTCTCAGTTGATGAAACAATTATGATAATTTCTCCAGGCCAGTAACAAGTTTTATCTATAAGATTCATCTTTTTTTCTCAGTGGTTGATCAAATTGATTCCAATTTTTTGTCATTCTATTGTAGGAGTGGTCAAGCTGATATCTAGCAATGATGCCATCGTGTATCTGAATGGGAAGAAGATCACTGAACCCACCATCTTGAAGACTGGGTCTCGTGTCATCCTGGGGAAGTCTCACGTGTTCAGGTTTAACCACCCAGAGCAAGGTGAGTTGAGATGTGACAGGGTGATTGTGCTCAGAGCACACCTAACACAATGGTTGAGATAGCACACCTAACACAATGGTTGAGACCAGTGCCGTGTAGCAATTGTGTTTGTTTTACATTTAACTCTAATACATTGGTTGTGCATTGTAACAGACCAGATTAATACCCTGTAGTATGTAATCATATCGAGCACAATTTATAGGACTTATCTTAAGTGTTTACTAAGGCATGTAAAGTACTGCTGAAACTGTGTTCCTTTTTGTTTGGAATATCTACTAAGAAAAAACTGTTTTTCTGTTTTTTTTTTTTTTTTTTAATTGTAAGGAATTAACCTAAGTGAATTTGTACTACTTTCTTCCTCTTTTTGGAAAAATTGATATACCACTATATTACATTACACTATTGAAGGACACAGATTTCATAATTACTGTTTATCGAACATTGCTTTGCTTTCTTGTGTTTTTTAGCTAAAAAATAACATAGGGCATTGGCAGCAGAGGCTTTCATAGTTATTTTTTTTGTTCTGCTGATTTTTGTTAGGTGCTTTTAAAAATGTAATCAGTTTTATATTAAGCTCTGTTTGTGATTCTGAAGGGTAGGATTATACAAACAACTATTAAGATAAAAGGTACTACTATTAATTGAAATTTTTCTGAATAAAATATCTAAGTGCTAACTATAAAAATGTAAATCTTTTGTGAAGTCTTGTGGTGGTTGTTGTGGGTGTAAAATATCATTTTCCCTGCATGTGGTTTAATAATTTTAATAAAAATTCAATTCAATGAAAATAATAATTGGTTTTGTTTACACTATAATATATTTATTAAGAGATTTAAAATTTTAATTTACAACCATTTTTTAGTAAGTTAAACATAAATATCATTTTGTGTAAATAATGATGGAACGTCTAATATTTTCATATTAATAATACATTGAACATTACTTTTGCTTTTATAATTTTAAGAAAAAGTTACTTTATTTTGAAATGAAATAGTTTCAGTCTTAATATCTGCTGAGTGAAAAAAATATAGTAATTTCGTTGATTGACAGAAGAATTTTTCCATATTCCATTGCCATTATTCCATAGTTTGTTGAATATGAATATATTTGAGTTACAAAATTTTGCATCTCTTGAAATGTTTTCCATTGTCACTGACAGTGAGTTGTCAAAATGTTTCTCAAAGCTACACAGTACTTGCCTTCTAGGCAGTACTTAAGAGGTTGCACAGTTTTAAAATACACTCAGTATAATGTTTAAATTGCTTAGCTTTGCCTTTACTAATCTTTCTATTACTTTTCATATTTACTCTTGCATTTGTCTGCCTTGTTTAATCTGTAGCCAAAATCCTCTCGGCCCAAAAGGCATCCATGACACTTGACCTGCCTCCGATGTGTAAGTGGTTCTTAAAATGCACATGCATTACCATGGCGATCACTTTGTTGATCTCATTCCAATTCTGCACTGTTGTTCATGTCAGTCTGCTATTGGTCAACTGCATTTTAGCTGTGATTTGATTGTTTAGCTATAATGTATTCGCATCTGTGATTGGCTGAATGTAGAATGGCCTGTGATTGGTCAGATTTTTATTTGGAATTTTTTTGACGCTTTAGTAATAAGAGCACTGCAACAAATTAAGCACTTATTATCATTTCAGAAAGGAAAGAATAAATCATATTTTTAACCTTGATTTTATTTCCAAAACCAAAAATGTTTCATTTTTAAATTCCATTTGCAATTTCTATTTCTCAGTATAAAAAAGTAACAAAAACAACTTTAATGCTTTTACAAATTAAGGAGCCTTAAAATTTACCCTGAGCTTCAAGAATCACTTTGTGACTTCAGGATGTTTTTGTTGCATTTTTAACTGCGAGACTCAGGGTGCTAACACCATATTCAAATTGAAAACATGTCCATATACACACACACAGTGTATCTACACATATATATATGTCTGTATAACTTAGAGACTAATAATGCATATATCAAGTGCATGAACACTAGTGCAAAATGACCAAGTCAGACCTTTTAAAAATAGATGTATGTTTTAGTGTTTGTTTTAGTTTTGTTCTTTTTTCACATCCAATAGTTGAATAAGTGTGATTTTATTTTTTTAATACTTTGCACTTTGACTATGTAATTTAGTTGTTGTTTCTATAGCAAGCACATAGTGATTTTGATTTTCATTGCATTCAGCATTTCATTTCCTCCAAAATTTTATCTGTCATTATTTCTTTTCGATTTGTCATACGAAATTTGTTCTTAGGAATCTATCACAATTGGCAAGCTTTTGCACAAATTCAAGGTTGATACCAATATATGCTGTTATTCACATCTAATGAAATGTTATATTTAGTCAATAGAAGTGATAAAGTATATTTAGAGATTTGTGGCTTTTCCATATAGATACTAGCGATGTTGGTTTGTTAGAGTTTAGAATGTAAACCTAATAAATTGGTCTTGCTTTGCACCATTTGTGGTTTTCAACCAACCAGTTGCAGTTGTGATTTTAGATTTTAGCTAGTTGACTAATATTAATTAAGATGCCTTGCTTTACCCCAACACGGGTGGGTTCACAATGAGCACAAATAGAAGAATTTGATAGAAATTTAGTTGATTATCACAGTTCAGTAATTATAAAATGTTGAAAATATTTGCAGTGGCTCAGGTGAGATGTTGATTGAAAGAAATTTGTGTTACATATCAGCCTTTAGATAACAGAATGTAGATAGTGTGTGTGTGTGTGCGTGCTGGCGTGCATGCATGTGTGGTGGTTGAGAAACAAAGATATGCCTGATGCATGTATAAATCTCAACCCAGAAAGCATACAGAGTAGATACCAGTGGAATATGATGTATATTATCAGCAATATATGTATGTAATTTTTATAGTAGTTTAGGAAGGGTATTTCATATACCTCCTCGTACATGTAGTGTATAGATATGTGTGGTCAGTTTAGATGATAACAGGCTGAATCTCCTTCAGAAATTAGAAAGTGATTATAAATATACCATTTGTGTGTGTGTGTTTAAAACAATTTTTATCATGTTTGCAGGCGATTAGATGTTTGTAGGCCAGTTAATCTAGAACATATTAGTTTAGACCTATACTAACTGTAGGAGTAGAGAATAAGGTTTTGTTGACAGTCAGTTTGTGTTGATGTAATTTGAAACAAACCATAACACAGGCCAACTAGTGGTGTACAAATTTTGCTGAATCAGAAGTTCCACGTAAGAACACCGGAGAGTAGAATGGTTTCCTACACTGAGCTTATCGTAAACTGCTGCTAAGATGGGTGGTGCTAAGTTACTAGTAGATCAGCTTAACTTGAAGGGAAACACAACATATAAGGACCTAAATTGATTTTTGTGCCCAGGATTGAGAAGTGTGAACCTTGAAAGATGATATTATATGAATTAATACGTGAGGTGTTTGTTTTTTGTTTTATTACCATGTTGGTGTGTTTGGGTACGCATTGGGTGTGTGTAAAGATCATCTGACCATTATATCTATGAGACATCATTGTGCTAAACTTTTCAATTTATAGACTACATTGGTACAATATATGCATTTGTGATTTCATTTTTACAGCCAGAGAAAAAAGAGAGAATGTGGAAAAGAAATCACCTGGAGACATGGAAACACCTGGTGAGTTTCACTTTCACTTTTGACTCCTTAAACTTCATTTCTAACTTCTTTCACTTTTAACTTCTTACTTTTATTAACTCAGGTTTGCTTTAAACTCTTATATTTTCTTCTCAAAAAAAAAAAAAAAAAAAAAAAGATTCACTCTCCTTGATCGCTCATTGACTTCTTTTACTATTTGACCTTTGAGCAGTTTATTCTTTCTCTTTCACTTTAAATTCGAGCTTTCAGCTGTTCCACACTCAGACAGCTCATCACAATTATCTGATTGTTACTTGAGACAAACCCTTCGCCATGATGTTGTTTGTTAGACAGTTCCCTCAGGGCCTCATTTTGCTTTGGGTATACACGGGAGAATACATGCATATTGCCCTCTGCCCTTATTATTGAGTATCAAAAGAAATGGAACTTTCCTTTGTCTTTCCTTTCGTTATGGTATAAAGCAAGTAATACAAGGTATTGTAATAGAAACTTGGTCATCGTAGAGGTTAGCTTCCTGTTATCTACAGCTGCAGGTGGGATTGAGGGGAGGTGATGAGAAAGGGGGGTGGGGGAATTGTGGATTTATAACCCAAGCCTTGGGGATGAAAACTGGGGAAAGGGGGGTATTTATTTGCCAATTTTAAGATGAAACAGGCACTGTTTGTTTAATTCTGTCCCCCCCCCCCCCAACAAAATCTTCATCAAAGAGGTCAAATCTTGGAATTACATCGCTATTTCCACTGTCATTTGTGCGATGTGCCTTGTTGATCTACATCTGTGCAATGCAGTGCACTCGCCTTAGCTGACATTAATTTTCACCACAATCCCTAACAGTGATTATAATCCCTGGGAATGAATTACATAATTTTTTTTTTATGTCCCATGACCGCAGTTTGCCCCATGAGCAATCTTGTCTGATATTGGGTATTTATGGGTAATAATACATGTACCAGTTTTTGGTTTATATGAGTCCACTGTGCAGCCCACAGGCTGACTGTGTATTCTGTTTATTTGTAGGCCCTCTCATTAGTAGCTACCTCAAAGACCTGAAATCGTCTTGGAGTTCAGATTCTGACTGTGACTTCGGTACTTACTATCAATTTTATTCTGACTTGAAAATTCAGTGTACATGTATTTCTTGGTTTATTTAGTGAAACAGATAAGTTATGCTTTGGATATGATATCTGGTTCACTTAGATTTTTGTTTTGAAGAAAGGTGTAAAGTACATTGAAATCATAATACTCTTATCTTTGGCTAGATTTTGATATCTTTTGTTTACTTTTTGATTCAGAAAATGTTCTAAAAGGTAAAGTACAAGAATTCCCACCAATATTGGATACATTTTAACCCCAAAAGGCATGCTGTTGTTTTTATTGTTTCTAAATTGTATCCAATTTTTAATTGGTGAAGAATATATCAACTGAATTTTCAACCCCACGTAAATTTGATAGTAGAATATTTGGACTTGAATTAAGGCTTTAGCTTTAAGCAGTGTGCATGGATCCAGGAATTGCCATCTCTGTTAATTATTCTCTCCCCGTCCCCCTTTGTAGCTTCGTAAAAGAGTTACAATTTTTTTTGCGTTGAAACAGTCATCTTGCTAATCTCAGACAACCTGCTAGTATAAATATGCCTCCAGTTTCAACCCCCAGCCATAATTTAGGGCTCGTTCACATAGACTCCAGCGGTCTTTGAAATCGTTCTAACTTTGCAGAAACTGATTGCAATCAGTTAAACAGTTTAACACGCCTCCTCTTGTTTCCAACATACCCACAATACACTGGCTTTCTGTAATCTACTCAATGCCAGGATGAGAAGTGTTAAAGTTTGAACTGATTGCATTCAGTGACAGTCCCTACAGAGTTGGATCGTTCTACACAGACTGATGGAGTCTATTGGGAATGAGCCCTTACTTTGGCTTCTATAACCATGTTTCAATTTGAGTTAGGTCAGCCTAAGATCAATTCAATTTAATGGGAATTTTACCATGGTTTTCTCATTATGTAGTCATATCATATTCTATTACATAGAGAGTTTTAATTGATATGTTTTATTATTTTACAAATTAGCAATCAAATATTAACCAGGTCAATTGAATCATTTTATTTTACATCAAATGTATGTACTAGTATTTAGTTCAGATTTTACATACTCATGTAGGAATTGAAATTGATCCCAGTAAGCTGATATCTACCCTGGTCTTTAGGAAGAAACCTGATTGGGGGTGTTCATAAAGAAACAATTTAATGTTAACTTTTCAACTAGCTAAAATTAGTATTTGGAGACAATTTTTGGGAAGTTGAAGAAAATGAAGATGCTGCTTTGGCAGTGTGTGATTTATTACTGGATATTATTATCTTAAATTTTTTACCCAAAGAACCTATCCTTGGCTATTGGCCCAATCCTTGCTTTTGGTCCTTTTCAAGACCAATGCCTTTGTTTAGAACGTACACATTGAAAATTCATGCCAAGTATACTATTCTATGATGTGTATTTGTTTTTTTACAGAAAATGGATTTTGGTGCTTTGCTTATTTTTTGCCTGTGTACCTGGCTTCTGCTTAAGAAAAAAAAAACTGTTGTAGAAAATGTTTGTGAAGAAATTTAAAATTTAGTAATATTGTGATTTTGGACAAAAGGACTTATGTTGAGAGTTTATTTCATTGCCAAGTAAATGTTTTCCATGGATGTCAGATTGTTAAGTTTGCCTGCAAATTACACGTGCATAATTTTATTATCTTTTTTGTTGAATTATTTCCCAAAAGTTACAGATTTGATACTACCAGTATAAGTTAACTTCAGAGTGGAAAATTTTTGGGAATGTATCTTGACTATAGATAAAAGTTGGTTGCTCAAATTTCCCGTAGACCACAGCAGTCTAAGACTTACTATTTGAATACGACTGTAGAGATGGCTGTACCAGTAAAAAATTATTTTCTTATTTGCTTTATAAAATTTAGGAAAAGATATCATAATACTTAAGGAAGCAGAAACTTGCTTGCAATTACCTGCAGTGATGTTGGAGGGATTGGTTGGTTTAGAGGGAAAGGCGTGACAAACAAGTATCTGCTTACTGAAGTCAAACCTCCCCTGATGCAAAAAGTTTTTTGTCAAAACTGCTTGTACACTGCTTTGATTTGGTGTTACCATATTGTAGAAGCCATTGGTGTTTTGTCAGCCATGTTGGTTTTTGCATTTCAGCATGTGAGACCGTAGACTGGCAGTATGCCCAACTGGAACTGCTGGAAAAACAGGGGATTGATCTGAGGCAAGAAATGGAGAAGAGGTAAGTTTTGGTGAGACAAAAAGAGACAGTAAACTATGACCCCATTTCCATACCTAGATCAATCTAGCAGGATCAACCCATTTTCGAGGGGATTCTCGCTAAATTGCATTCAATTTAAGTCCGGTACGCCTACTGAAGCTGCTGTACAATAGTTAATTACCCCCTAACAGCTTCAGTAAGTGTGCCAGAGCCACTTAAGCTGAATGCAATTTAGCGAGAAACCTCTCAGAGATGGGTTGATCTTGCTGGATCGACCTAGGTATGAGAACAGGGTCAATGTCTGCAATAGGTAGGGCTGTTTAAAAGGTAAACAATTGTATTTTATAGTACAAATGTCTGACAAGGTTTCATCAAATTAGATGAATAAGAATAAAAAATAGAATTTTTGGAATAGTTATTGGACCACTACTGAAATGAGTAAAAATAAGTTAAATTTTAAAGTGCCTGTAAGCTAGTGCTGAGTTACAGTATTTTGGTAATTATTTATAACAATAGGGGTCACAGAAACCCTGCATGTGTATATAGGCATTCATCACAGATGCTTAATACCTCTTATGTTATCTTTATAAGAAAATATTGTATATAATATGGAAGTGTCAGCTTATAGAAATAATGAAGGAAAGGAAAATATTCAATAAAGCTATGGAGAAGACAGTTGAACCAACACTCCCTTCTCTCTCTAGAGTGCCCTTGTTGCAAATGTCAATCATTTTAAGCTGCGTCATCTGACACTAATATCTCTCATATTGAAATCCTTTTAGAGATCCAATTCCGACATCAGCCTCCACTTTATGTATTAATGTACAAAGTGCATTGCTGCAGTAAATTTATACATGTCATCTGCATTTATGCATGTATACATCAAGACTTCTGCCCACAATGTGTCTTCCCAGCTGGTGTTCTTAGGATTTTACTGAACCAAGCAGGACCCAAAATTTTGTAGAAGGTGCTGTCATCGCAAACAAAATATTCACCCTGTATTGAATAATGCATGTGATCTTATAGAATAATCAGACTTGGAGTAAGAAAGGGTGATTTAATAAAAAGAGTTTATCTGAAAACTTTGTGTTTTTTTTTGTCTATTTTTATAGTTAAGATGAGGGATTTAGTACATTAAGTCAACTCACTTAAGCAGCACGAAAAAAAAAATTCAATTCACCTAAACAGCATACTGAATAAACGTCTCCCAGCTCCTTTTTCTTTACCTAGAGGAAATTTGTAAAGAATGTGATGGCATTACTGAAAGTCAAGTTTGGGTGGTGAAAAGGCATGGGTCAGATTTTATGTGATTTCAATTGATTTCTATTATTTGACTCTTCACCAGTTCTTGGAAGTCTAAGTGGGTTCTTATTAATAGAGACATTATTTGAAGCACTTAAAGTATTATTTTTTATGATTTTTATTGATTTATTGTTAAGTCTTTAGAACGTCATTAGGTTCTCAAATAGCAGTTGTTTTTGTCTAAAGATAGGTTCATTTGAGCGAACTAATAGTGAAATTCTTTGAGAAATTCACATGATTTCTAACTGTTCTGAAGACTGCAGGCTACGGTATGTCACTATTTGGATATCAAACATTTTTTCATTTATTAGTATGTTTTTATTTAATAACACAAGCCTTGAATGGAAATGATTTTTTAATTATTTATTGTTTTGGTAATCTAGAATTGGAGATTGTAAAATTAACTCTTCTGTATAGTTATAGCTATCGCCAGAGTCTCTGCCAGCGTTAGAGGCAGAACAGTGTTTCCACAAATTTTTATTTAATGCAACTGTTACAGTTATAAAGGTTGAAGTCATAATGATTGCTAAATGTTAGGACAACTCTCCTAAGGGATTATTACGGAAAGTAGCCATCTATGAAGGCCCATGTGGTCCAATGGCAAGCACCAATTCTAGAAAAATTTCAATAATGGAATTTATTATATATTCTGTGATGTTTACAATGTATTTGTTGTGGAATTTTGAGTCTGAAAACTTGTTATCCATGATGGGAGTGTCCTCTTTCACAAAAGGTTCCATATTACTACTCTAAAAAAGGCAAAACATGTTTGTTACCTATAAGTTGTACATAATGAGCTTCTATCAAAGAGCTTTGATCAGGGGAAACATGGCCAATTCGTAGAAAAACAAGATTAGTCTTGAAACACTTAACTTTTTTATCCTTATTACACAAGAGCCAATGAAAGTCCTTTTGTTACTGCTCTATATTGTTGTTGTTTTTTTCCAGAGTAAATGAGATGGAGGAGCAGTATAGAAAGGAGAGAGAGGAGGCGGAGCAGGCCTTTGAACAGCAGAGGAAGGTAAGGAAAGATCTAAAATATGGAACAGAAAAAAGTGAATATAAATTGAGCTCTTCAGTGTTATTTTATACTAGTAGTTTATAGTGTTTTAATTTTGTAAATTATAAAAAACTGGACCTGGTGCTTTTTTCAATTATGCCTAAAAGGTACAATGGCAGATACTTTATGTTGGTAAAGGATAGGAATGTCTTTGAGAATCCTCAGGATTTGGGGTATACATGTAGGGAGTCCAAAATGTGAATATGTAATTTGGTCATCGATTAACAGGGAGTCCAAGCAAGCAAGCCCAATCAACCAATCACCCCCAAAATTTTGTAAGCTGTCCAGCTGTATTTGGAAATAAAGGCAGTCTTTTGAGACTAATGATTGTCCAAATGAAAACTGAACTGCATTCTGGGAAAAGTCTAGACTGAGAACTTATATATTTAGTTAAAACTATTCTCAGTAAAATGATGTTGTCTTTTAGGATTACGAGAGCAAGATTCAAGTTCTACAGGAACAAGTGGAGAGACAATCCATGATGAGCAGCCAGTATACCACTGGAGATGACATAGGGGAGGATGAGGAAGATGAAGCTTTTGGTTGGTTTAAGTTCATTTGAGTTTGTCCTGCTTTTGAGTTTGCTCTAAAGAGCAATACTATTTATGTTATTAAATTTCTTCATGTTCATTACTTGATTAAGCAATTTTAATTTTGAATGTCAAATACTTGAAATGAAATTACTGTCGTTTTAAGATAATTGTCGGTGTCTTTTTTGGGACAAAAACATTTTCAAACATTTTTTCTATTTATTTGACATATTTGTGGTCATTATATTCTGCATTTTGTTTCAATACACACAGATTTTATACACTAATAGCTACAGGGTACTATAAACCACAGGGGCGGATCCAGAAATATTTTCTGACAGTCTTCCAAATCATCTTTGTTGATCCATCCTCCATTATTGACCGTCTTCCAACAGAAAAAATTAGATACCCGTCAATGTAAACTTAAAAATCTGACCGTCTTCCGGAAGACCCAGAAGACTGCCTAAATCCGCCCCTGAACCATGCAGAAAAGAAAATGATCCCAGGTGATGAAGTTGTTGTCTCAATAGCTCATCTTGCTCTTTTTTAGAGGAGGAGTGTAAGTGGACAGAGCGTGAATACCAGTTGGCGGAATGGGCGTACAGGAAGTGGAGATATCACCAATTCACCTGCCTGAGGGTATGTTACAGCGATACAATTGTAGTCAAAATGTTGAATGGATTGTCTTTTTCAATCTATGGTGAAGTAAGAGTGTGTCAAAACATTTTAAGTCACAGTGTTTTAGAATTATTCAAGTGGTCTTTTACACATTTTACAAGTTTATTATTTCACACACTGTGTCTTGCTGCCTTTGTACCGAAATTCAGGAAGCAGATGTTTTTTAGTGCAGCATGTTACTTTACAATATAAGTAGTATTCCATGTTGAGATCAAGGTTGGCACAAATTTTGGATTGGATATTACATAGAGATTGCTTGAAGTGAATTGTGATCAATTCTCTGCTTCTTGATAATACGTGTTGCATGACTATAATTCTACTTCAGTAACTACCAAAATGTCTGTTCCAACTAACCTGAACGTGACATTGGTCAAATGTGACATTGGTTGGAAACGTGATGTCAAATGTTGTTGTCATATTTTTGCAGTATGATGTTAGTTTACCGTACAGTTTTCTCCAGTGTTGCATGGTACTGTGATTACTGTTTTCTGACACTCAGAAAAACTCCAGCATGTTAAATATCAGACTAAAAATTCTATGTCTAATCTGTGTGCACATGTGACATGAAATCATGGCACTTCTGTGTTTATCATACTAAATAAGACAAAAGTATTTTCTGACTTTTCCACAAAAAAAGTATAAATGTCACATTATCCATATTGAGTTTGGTGTGGAAAGGTAATAGAAAAATGTGAACACTCAGAGCTAATGTTTATGCTATTGATTATCACAAGTTGAATATAAGTACCTTGACTGTTTATGCTCTCTGTTGTACATTCTTTAATGTGATTTGTTAAATTTTGATAAATGTTCTGTTTTTATTTATTTTGATGCTGAATTTTTAAAATAATTTTGCAGTAGTTTTTAAACTTTTGGAGGCAAGTTTGACATGACTTGTTACTTTGCAATTGCAATGTGTCACAAATTTGTTTGTTGTAATATACTTTTCCAGCTATATCTTCTGTTTTTTTCTCCATGTTATTTTTACTTAAAAATATTTATCATTACTTTTTACCAGTTAATATTTTTTTACAATAAACCACATAATCTCTAGTATTATTTTTCACTCCCCATTGTATAGTAATTGACCTCATCACCATGGTGTCCTTTTAGTTGCTATGGTTACAGTCATATATTTCTGTTGGTTTCCACTGGCAACTATTGAAGGTGCCATGGTTACACTTCCCATACCCCTAGTTTCCATAGTGCCCATCCAATTGCTATGGTTGCAATTTGTTCTCCAGTTCCCATAGATACGTATGTATAGGTTTCCATGGTTACTGCTCCCCACTCCCCCTGATTTAACTGTGAAAGACTGGTATTACTGTTTCCATGGGGCTTGTAATTGTCTATTTGTTTCCGTGTTTTTCCTTCCCTGAAAGTGCACGTAAAGCTTGAGCTTTGTGTGTTTATTTTCCACCAGGATGTGTCTAACAGGATTCATCCACTGTGTCAGATTAAGGTCTGTATCTGGGCAGGTTGACACACACACACTAGTAAATATCTGATCAAATACCTATATTTTTTTCTTTTTTTTTTATTGTCAAGAACGGGTGGTGGTGGGATTAGCTGTTCATTTGCCATATTCCATCTGGCTATAGATGTCCTATTTGTAAAATTCTGATGCGATTGTTTTAGTGGGAAATGTTTCAGACCAATATGTTGCATTATGCATATCAATTTCTTTTTAAAGTTCATGGCCTTGACTTGGCACTGAATTAAAATTATTTCTAAAAGGGACCAAACCTCATTTAATACAAGTAAAAGAGTTCTTTTGCGTTACGATAGCCAAATTTATCTTGGCTCAAAGAAAACATAGATTTTACTGTGTGTGTGTGTGGAAAACCAATTTATTATCAGTGTATTAAAGATGAGTGGCCTTCATTTTCATTCTTAGTTCAAGATCTTTTATGTTATGTATGAACTATTATTTTGTATTTTGTTATTTATATTTGTATTGACACTGCGTGGGTCTCCTACCACTCTGATTACAACTTGTGCTGTAAGACATGTTCACATAAGAGCTAATTTAGGATCAGGAATGGATTAAAAGTGCATTACCAGTTGACTCCAGTATATAGTATATATAAGTTCAAATTTCTACATGCCATTGTAAACCAACTGTAATTGAAGCTAGGTTATCTGGTAATTACTATGAGCCAATTTTGGTCTAGGTTAGTTTTGATGTGAACACGGCACATTTTGTGACACAAGGGTGTGACAGGTGTGATCCTGCAGTGTTCCCAGTGTGGTGTGCATGTTTGGGACTTGTAGATGTGCCATAAAGGTGATCTTTACCTCTTTTGTTGTGTGTATTTATCTTTTGAATTTATAAACCATTGTTTTTAAATTGGATAGATATGGATATAGATATGGAAAATTTCTGAAAATCATAATTGTGAGTGTGGTATAGGCAGAAGTTAGATAATGCAATTTATGCAGATATATAAGATAAAATTAGTGCAGTTAGTATAAAAATTAGTATAAATCACTACTATACTGTCTCAGTTTATATGATGTGTATGTAAAGATTTCTCTGTGTATGTGCTCTGTTCTCTCTGGCTGTGTTCACAACAGCACTAACATGGACCTGCATTTCTTAGAAAGAGTCATCAGATGTAGTTATACAGAGTTATCTCCTATGCTTTATATACTAGCAAGTTCAGCGCCTAGTAAATTTGGTTTTCAGGTGACATCGTTTTGTCTTTTTCTGGTCAAAGTTGGTCCTGGTGTGAACGCAGCTTATCATGGTTTCCATGAGGAAGTTACACATATATATTAGACAGTTGTACACTTATACACTTAATATACACTGTGCATAGAACTGGACGTATTGTAAATGTGTAGCACAGCATACAAAAAGATAGCAACATAACTGTAATACTATGGAGATATGATATAACACGATCCTGGGACAGCCCTAAACCAAAGTCAACCAAATTTTCCCAAATCGGCACCTACATTTGGTTTCTCAGTACGTGAGACATGATAAGCTGTGGGTATTAATGAGGTAATAATGATAAATTAATTAGTGAATATGAGTGTCAACAGACATAACATACTTTTAATGAATTTTCAAGTCTTTATTTTATCCAAAATACATTATGACCAGTTAAAAAGCTTGTCGAGGAAAATGCCTTGTATAGACCCATTGTGTTTGTTGAGATGGCACCAGCAGTGATTGTGCTGAGATTGTGCTGAGATGTTTTCACTGCTGTTTTCATTGCAGGATGACTTGTGGGGCAGTGCTGTGATACTGAAGGAAGCTAATGCCATTAGCACTGAACTGAAGAAAAAGGTCAGACATATTGCTATAAAAAGGTCTACTTTTTGCTTAATGTTTAACATCAAGGCCAGAAATAGCAACTTTTCTCTCTAATAAGGTCTCAAAATGCAGAAAACAAATTCTGAAAGTGCTTTCGATAAATATGTAATTGAAATTGCTGGTGGAAAAATCATAACTTACAAAATTCTTAAAACTAACTTTATGTTAAATTTTCATTACTTGACTTAAATTAAAATTTAAATGACAAATCTATAAAATTCATATCATCAAATTATAATTAGTTGATATTTTTCTCTATGTAGGTGCAGTTCCAGTTCGTTCTGCTCACAGACACATTATACTCCCCACTTGCCCCAGACCTTCTCCCAGATGACGCCAAGGACATGGAGCGCCCGTACCCACACACCATTGTTGCCGTAGAGGTCCAGGATCAGAAAAATGGCGCTACACATTACTGGAGCATGGAGAAACTAAGGTCAGGAATTTTTATTTTTCATCAGAGAAACTTTTTTTGTGCTTCTGCTTGCAAGTACTCACAATTTCTGATCAAAATTGTTTGTTTCCTTTTAAAGAAATTTTTTTAGTGATACCAAAAGTGATGAGTTGAAGTTGGAGAAAAATGTTTAAAAGATTGATATTGGAATAAAAAAAGTTGTTCTGAAATTGTGAGGACTTACAGGATTTTTTTACAGTGCATGAAAACATATTGGCTTCCTGTTCTTTTCATGCAGGGTTTATAAATGCAAGTTATGGTTGTTTGTAGATTCTACATTGTTAGTTTTGATTGATTAGGTTGTTGATTGTATAGTTAGATTGTCTTATTTTCTTGGATATCCTGTATATAACATAATGGTAGTAATTTATAGGTAATAATATTTCCATTTATTAGTAGTTTTAGTTGGATCTTTTTCTATCTTTCTTCTTTATATTATAGTCTTTATTGAACTGTTAGGTTTTTTATTTGTGTTTTGTAAATCTATGCTTCATTTATTTGGTCTGACACACACACATATATATATATATATAAACTGTGGTGTTTCTGAGTACCTTCAAATTAGTCACTATTTAAATCTTGTGTGTAAAGCTTTCCACTTGTATAGAGCTTGTGCCTGGCCTGCTAACCTGCTTTAACTTTTGTTTTATCAAAAAAATCTATCTGTCTATCTGTCTATCTATCTATCTATTAAGAATATAAAAAATATAACAAATAAAAGTGAAAATTTTATAACCATGCAATTATTCTTATTTTGGACTTCTGAACAAAAGTTATATTTGCTAGTTTTAGTTTAAAGTACATGTTATGTCAGTCAATTTGAACAGATGTCTGTGATTCCAGGTTGTCTTTTAAAAATGAAAATATGACATCAACTGATTGCTTTCTAAAAAGGGAAGATAAAAGATGTTGAGGCTCATAGAAATATCAATTTTTTTTACAAAGTTCAGTTTTGAATTGAAAAATAAAATCCTGTTTAGCTGCTTCGCTTTTACCAATATGTTCTGCCATATGTTTTCCCTCACTATGAATTCTAAGGGATTACTTTTCCTTATCCTTCTTTTAAGAAATATAGTTGTTTTGTGCTTTGTTTGCTGTATTGTGGTAAATGTCGGTTGGCTTGAGGAGGTAGACACAGGAGATATTGGCAAAGTGTGGAACAGTGGTCTTATTCTGGTAAAAAGCAGCTTTCGTCAGTAACAAGACATGCTGTGAAAGAACATAGGAGAACACTGGAGCCAACTACAGGCTTAAAGTTGACTATTTCAAATGTGAGCCAGATATGTTTTATCAAAATGTGCCCTTTCAGATGTGTTCAGTACAGATGTGCATTGTGTTTTTTTTATTGTGCAAGGACTCATTGTGTTGTTTGAGCAAAGGCTCATTGTGCATTGTGTTGGGTATATAAGGGCTGATATTGTTGGCAGAGGTGTGTGTACATGTGTGTGTGTGTATGTGTGTGTGTGTGTGTGTGTGTGTGTGTGTGTGCACTTGTGCTTGAGTTTGGAAGAAGGTAAAAAGGTGAATATGTCAAGCATCATGAAGAAAATTTGCCATTCTAGTAGAATGGTCTTATGCCAGAATAACAGCTTTAATACTTTAGTGGCAAAATTAACACATGTTACTCTTCATGGACTAGCTTGTTTCTCTGTATCTAGAGTTTAAGTTTTGGGGGCAGTTTGGCCGAAAACTTATTTCTCTTAAGTGAAGCAACATATTTAAAAAGTTTAAAAACCTTGTCTTTAGATGAGCTGTATGACTGAGAAGCTATATAAAGTTTGATGTGACATGTTTCCTTATTGTGCTTGCTGTGTAAAATGTTTTTTTTTTTATTCAGTTGAAAAAACTCATCTAAAAACAGCTTTGCTTTCACAAAAGTAACAATAACAACAATAATGCAGTTGTTGACATAAAGATTGTGCTTGAAGTGGTTCCCTGTTGTTTCATGCTTTCCCTCTTGCCTGTTACACTTCATTTTTAAAGCAAAAGCTTATATGCAATTTTTATTTCACAGAGTTATGAATACTTTATACATTCAGTGGTATAATTTCATTCCATAATAAAATTAATTTGAAAACAGGATTTGAGAGGCAACTGGTTTTGGTTGTGAGACAGTTGCCATCAGGTTTTGGATGTCAGCGATTGAATTTTTAACGTACCGAGTCGCCCAGTGTTGCCACCATGAGTTCCAACTTTGTCAAATCCAAGTCTCAGTTAGTGCTTCACTTCTTTTGCTTTCAATGTTCCTTGTTCTTCTTTTATTGCCAAATTTTAATTGGTATTATTTTCAATTTTTAAAAATTTTCTTAGTTTTTAATAGTTTTTCATTTCTTCTGATAGTGAATTATATATTTCTTAACATTTTAGTGCAATTTTTAAAGATATGTCAGTTGATTTAACATTAAATTGTTGTAGTTTTCAGACATTATGTCCCATTAGAGCATTCTTATATTAGATAACCGCATTATATTGGGCTTATTATCTCAACTTTAATTCAATTCTGCTTATTACTTATTGATAACAGTAGACCGTAACCCTACACTTGAGGCCATCGCAACATTCGCAACATAACTGTATACTTACCATCACTAATGGGTAGTTTCGCAATTTTGTAGACAACGCTTGGAACTCATGCGTGAAATATATGATGAGGACCGAGACAATTCTCCTGACACCCCCGAACAGGCACCCGAGAATTTATTTCAATGCTGGTCAGCATGTAGTAACCCCAAATACTTCAACTTTGCCAATCTTCTGCCCTCAAGGTAGTGTCTTTATGGATGCATTGCCGTTACTCCCTTCATGGTCGCCATTTTGTTTGCCTGTCTTATTCAATACAATGTTTGTTTTATTTGATACATTGCATTAGTTCTTTGTAGTTTTTTAAAGTCCTATGTCAGTTGCGATATTGCTTTTTTGTAAGTTTCAGTATAAACCTGTGCCAGTATTAAAAACTAGTTTGTTCGCCTTGTTTCTCTTTATCTTAGTTCCAAAGTTGGTAACCATTCAGCTGGTGTTTCAGTATGATTTTGTTCGCATTTTTCTCTTTTCCTAAATCTACTTTAACCTTTTTCAGTATCTCCTGTTGTCAGATTAGTTATCACTTTGTTTAGTTTTTAGAATTACTTTTAATTATCTATTTCAAATCATCTTTCACTAATTGGTTTCCGTTTCTCTTATGCTTGTTTCTTTATCTCCTTTTGCCAGTTTCAGTTTTTCTTTCGTTAGTTTCAGTATTGTCAAAATTGTGAAAATTGTTAATAGTTAACAAAGCAGCTTAGTTATTTGCTTCTTTTCCTGTGTAGTAAACTTGTGTGATTTCACCTGGTATTTTGAACTACTGCAAAGTATAGATTAGTGGTAAATATTCTGCTTTAGTACTCTATAGTTTATATTCAACCAGTTTTCTGGCTTTGCCTTCAATATATCACTGTTTTACTATACCACAAGCTGCCAGATTTATATGTATGTAGTTTTATGTGTTCCTTTACCATATTCCTTTGCTATTTTCTCTTACCATCTCTCTGCCTGGGTATAATTAGGTGTTGTTCTTCAGAATTGTTGTCAGACTGGCTTGGTTATATGCACAGTGCATGTTTCTTATCTGGATGAAACTGGTGTACTGCATGGTTTTAGAAACTTAGTTGTCCTCTTTTTTTTTTTGCTCTATGTCTCTGGCAGTGTTTTAGCCATCAGTTTTGATGCTATAGATATTGGTCCTTTTTGTCAAAGAATAAAGTTTTAGTGTTGTGCCCTAACTTACGGGATACCTGTACTTGTTGAAATGTTTATTTGTTTGATTTAAAGGTAACCTTTTTGCATTATGTTAGCTATTTAAATTGTGCATATTTTTATTACTAGGGAGGGGGGGGGGGGTTTAAGGCTTTTGACATAGATGATATGATTTATGGGCTTTATTATGCCATAATTATGTCATTTTTTATAGTTATGGAATTTCAATGAGGGATTTATTTGCATGTAGCCTGGCACCCATTTATTTATTTTTTAGTATTTTATAAAGTTGATCTTCCTTGTAACAAGCTCTGTGACCTTGGGACAGTTCAGACAGAGTATAATTTGGAATGGAAATAAGCCAACATGATGTAACTGAATGACTTGATGTATTAACCAGGCATTTAGTTGTTTGAAGCCCCGAGGGGGGGGGGGGGGGGCTCTCTGTGACAGGTGAAAGTACAGAGAGCCCATTGCTCCTGGGATATTTCATAAATCTTGCTGGTTAGGAAATCTTGTCATTTGGTGAATTTGGCCTCAAAATGGTTGGAAGTTTTCACCCTCCATGTATATAAATTCACAACTACCACATCACAATGGGTAATAAGGAGGAAATCAGTGCTGCAATTTCAGTCAAGTTATAACAGCTTTACTTATCTCACAAAATACTCGTAAAAACATCTTACCATCCCAACAGGTAAGCTTTGTTTGTCTAAAAGTTAAGACCATACAAATACTGATGGGTAAGGAGGACAGCAAATGGTTAGAAGTCAACAAAGAAAATCATATAGGTACCATATAGAAAATATTATGTGAGATAAACTGTTACAACTTGACTGTAAATTCACATCTTAATTTAAGCTCTGCCAATAAATGTTACTGTGTTTGTCTTTTTTCTTCTTTGGTGGTTCTTGTTTGTGCTCCCAGTTTTAGATTTCAAATTGTTAAAAATTTCAGCAAAGATTTGCAAAATGTGTGATAGTTTATAATATACATTATTTAAAACATTTCATTATTTCAGAGTCCTATTTTACTAAAGATTCTTTAAATATAGAAATAGGTACTAACATTTATACAGTTAACAAGATAACAGATTTACATGAATTGACTAAAGGTTTGCATTGAGCAGAAGGACCCCAGTGGTTGAACGTTCTCAAGAATTTCCTGTTGATATTTTCACAAAAAAGAATTTTAGCTTGGAAATTGGTCTAAACTTTTAGACAAGAAGTTAATTTACTTTGATCCAAGCTAAATGTGTATACATGTAGTCAAATGAAATAAAGCCATAATTCGTTTCAGGCCAATAGTTACCAGTACTTTATTTGAGTGAAATACTGTAAATTTTTTAATTGAAGTGGAGGAAATCTTTTGTCTAAAAGTTAAGACCAATTTTGGGCTAAAGTTCTTATGTGAAATATGCATCTAGGAGTTTAACTGTTCAAGCTTTACATTAATCTGAGTATACATTGTGTTTGGTCTTCTTCAGACATCGCCTGGAGCTGATGCGCGAGATGTACCACAATGAGGCTGACCTGTCACCTACGTCACCTGACCCAGGCATTGACAATATCACTGGCGGGGACCCTTTCTACGACAGGTTTCCTTGGTTTAGACTGGTTGGAAGGTGAGTGGTGAAGCCTGTGCACATCTGAGTTAAACCAAATACAACAAAAAGATGGTTGTTTTTTATGCAAAAAGTGCCGTACAATTTTCCATATAAAATATTTTACTTTCAGAGCCATTATGTACATAAGTAACCTGTATCATACTATACTAATTATTTCAGCACAGTCTTTCATATAAAATATTTTCCTTTCAGAGCCTTTGTATACATCAGTAACCTGTACCATGCTGTTCCCTTGGTGTACACTGTGGCCATTGTCAGTGAGAAGGGAGACGTAAAGGGACACCTCAGAGTTGGGGTCCAGATCGTGGCAGGTTAGAGATAAATAAATAAATAAATAAATAAATAAATAAATAAATAAATAAAAGTATTGGTCCAGTGACGTGGCTCTAGCTGTGGTTTGTTGATGGCATTTTGGCAGTGAAGAACATTTTATACAGCAGATATTCAGCTAGTTGTACATATGGCTCCTGCTTTTAAGTTTAAGGTTTTAACTAATGTTTTTAATTTATTGTGTTGTAAACATTTTCTTCTTTCAGAGAATGAAGAGAATCCTCCAGGAATAAAGCAGTCTGGAAAAGCCAAGATCTCTTTTAACGATGAAGAATACTTTACTAAGGTACTAGTACTGCATGACATGATATTTATTTGAAAACACACATTCTCATAAGTTGTTTCTTCTTTCCTGTATGATAATAATGTTTGAATGTGACTGTTTAAGTTTAAGAAAAAGCAGTGTGATCTCATCTTCATCAGAATTTAGTTCTGTAGGTGTTGTGTTTTCAACTTAAACATTTTGAATTTCATTCCATGAAGGAACTTAAATTAACAAATAAGTCATTGTGTACTTGTCATGATGATGTTATTAACCCTATAAATTTGTGAAATAATGTACTTACAAGTGTTCTATTTCCTTTCATCAGAAGTTAAACTTGAAGCCAATAGGGGGCAGCAGCAGTAAGCTGTCCGCCATATCTCAAGAAGAGGTCAGATTTGTGGAAGGTCAAGGTCAATCTTCAGATTCTTCTAACACAGATGGTAAGTCTGACTCCATCCTTTTCAAAGAGGCATTTATAATGGACTGTTGTTAACTTCAGAAATTGCTCTTGTTTTATGTACTACAGACAGTTGGTTATGATGATCTCTTGATGCAAGGTTGGTCTCTGAAATACTGTAATCCAATGTATACACAGCCCTATGTACCGACTCTGTCTCATTTTGTGAAGACTGTTAAGATTTTTTTTGTCTAAATTGACTTTAATTTTGTTACTATTTAGACTATAAGAATACATTTCATTAAAATTCTGTCTTTAGAGGTAGTATGATAGGAGCAGATGCCTTAATAAAAAAGTTTAAATATCAACATGCATTGATAGTTATATATATGTGTATATATTTTAAAAATCAATATTAGCCATTTATAGTTTTGTCATGTGTTTCAAAAACAGACTTCATTAGATTTTATATGCCTGATATAACGCTGATAAGGCATCCTTATTATTTCCCTTGTAGAAAAGCCACAGGAAAGCAGAACTGAGATTCTGAAGCCTTCAATCTTGGATCAGTCCAAGGCTTTGCTGGAACTGAACGAGTCTGAGCTCCCTGCCCACCTGAAGCTGGGCAGTCAGCTGACCTTCAGAGTGACCGTGCTCCAGGCTGCAGGCATTTCTCCTGAATATGCTGATATATTCTGCCAGTTCAAGTAAGCACTGGGGGATTTTTAATAGATGAGCAAACGGTTATCCTAGAAAACAGTCAGTGATGTGATTTTGGCTATGAATTCGATTCAGAGGAGATTTCATTTTATCGCTACATACAAGCCTAACCATATTGAATAGTGCTCAACTAATGAACTGGAGTAATGAATGTGGTGCATTGTTTTAGTTTTTGATTTACCTAATAAATATAAGAATGGTCTAAAACAGTTGATATTTTTAATAAATTCTGTTGTGCATGAACCTTCTAAAAAGCCAGTTCTTTATTTCAGTTTTCTCCATCGTCATGATGAAGCCTTCTCTACAGAGCCATTAAAGAACACAGGCAAAGGTCACCCCCTGGGCTTCTACCACGTCCAGAATGTAAGACATGAATCTGAACTTTTCTTGAACTCAACCAGTATTTGATCTTCACAAAACAGATGAGAAGTCTTCAGTTTTTGTTTAAAAAAAAAAGTGTTGCTGGCACAATATAAGAAGGCAATAACTTTCATTTGCTGATTTTTCTTTCACATTTAATTAAAATTTAATTGATGTGAAACATGAATACAAGAAAATAGGCTTTAGGATTGCTATGAAATCTTAAAAAAAAGCATAAGGTTGTAAAATAAAATTGAATACTCTTTTGAGTTATGGTTATCATGATCATTGTTTGTGTTCCAGTTCACCACCACTGTCACCAAGTCTCTGATAGACTACTTCAAGACTCAGCCCATTGTGTTTGAGGTGTTTGGTCACTACCAACAACACCCCCTGCATGACCAGGCCAAAGATACAGCAAAGTACGTAACCCCACCCCCCACCCCCATCACAATTACCCTCTCTCTCTCTCTCTCTCTCTCTCTTTCTCTCTCTCTCTCTCTGAGCTTTTACTGATGTATCATATATATTGGTATACTAAATTATTACCAAACAACTTCAAACAAAAATAAGTAGATCAACTTATATTTTTCAAGATTTATCATTTTGAGTTGCTTACAGAACATGCTTCATAATAATTAAGATCCAGCCTCACTTTTTATTTTCAGATATATTAGTAACTGAATTTATGAATTTTGTATTAATTCTAAATCATNAATTACCCTCTCTCTCTCTCTCTCTCTCTCTCTTTCTCTCTCTCTCTCTCTGAGCTTTTACTGATGTATCATATATATTGGTATACTAAATTATTACCAAACAACTTCAAACAAAAATAAGTAGATCAACTTATATTTTTCAAGATTTATCATTTTGAGTTGCTTACAGAACATGCTTCATAATAATTAAGATCCAGCCTCACTTTTTATTTTCAGATATATTAGTAACTGAATTTATGAATTTTGTATTAATTCTAAATCATTTGAAAATGAGTAATTACTGCAGATTTAAACTAGCATGACTAATAATATGTCATCATTTCAGTGTACGTCCCCCACCCAAGCACAGTTTTCCCCCAACTCTCCCTGTATCAAAGCCAGTGCCCTCACCCAAATATGGAGTCATTCAGATGCCAAGGTCAGATAGAGAACTGATAGAAAGAGTTAGATATAGAAATGATAGAAAGGGACTGTATAAACACTCAATGGATATAATAAATTATATTGTTTTTCTTTCGTGGTTAAGAATGATATTGTATTTTAACAGTGCGTAAATCTAATGCTTGAAAAGGTTTTTTGATCTCACAGCATCCATGTGATGTGGAGTCTATTTGAAACACACACACACACACACACACACACACACACACACACACACGTGCACACACACACGTGCACACTTTCCATATTTTAAATGTTATATTTTGTGTCATTTCAGTGCCAGTCAGATCCACACTAAGTACGATCTTCTGGTTGGGTTTGAAATCTGTGAATTGGCACATGATGGAGAGTAAGTCATGGTGGCAATTTCTCATTAAAGTCAAACAATTTTTCCTCAAACTGCTGTTTTAAAACCGGCATCTTTTAAGAATCAGTAGTTCTGATAATGAGCACATTTTTTTTGTCACGAAAACTTTTCTTTTACTATATTAGTAAAGAAAAAGAATAGATCTTGAAAATTTGATGTGAAATTTTGGAATTAGTAAGGTAGTTGAAATTTGTATTTACTGCATCACCTATAATAATATCAATTTATGGTTACATGGAGATAATGCAGTGCACCAACATGCTTGCAGTTGTATACATTGGTGCATCTTAAATAACATGTCATGATTTTTCTTCTAAACTGTTACACATTAATATCTGGCCTTCTTATGCTTTATCAAGATCTGCTTCATAGTGGTTCTTTGTAGATGTAATAATCACTCAAGCTTGATCATATTGCATTCAGTGTATTATTGCTTTAAATCATATTGTAGAGAAACAGATAGAAAAAAGATTTAACCATAAATGGGATGTACCTGTTACATCAGTGTAACATTGTTATAATAACACATCATGTTGTATTGTAGATATCATCCTACTGTTGTTGATCACAGTGAGGGTATGCCGTGTGCTGGAACATACTTGTTACATCAGGGCATACAGAGACGCATTGCTGTTACCATCGTACATGAGAATGGACCTGAGCTGATCTGGAGGGACATACAAGAACTCGTTGTTGGTAATTAGCTCTGCTTGACTGAAATTAAATGGAATTGATAGTGATTTTTTTATTGAAAAACTAAAGTTTTCAAACATTGGAGTGAAAGTTAATTTAAAGTTGCGTATTCTAGTTACTGATAGAAAAATTAAACGAACTTCATACTGATGCTTTTTTCTTAAGAATGATATTTTTAAAAACTCATCTTGAAAAGAAAATTGTACATAATTTATTCAAATTTGTGCCAAATTGGGAAGTAAATTCAAAGAACCAGACCCTGACAAGATCTCCATCCATAACATTTATCCTGGACCAACTGTTCTCTCTTACAACTCTCTTCCAAAAAGCCATAAAACAGTGGCTAATATTGTTACTGCTCAATTCCAGGTCGTATCAGGAACACGCCAGAATGCACAGAGCTGGACACGGCGCACTCTGTGCTGTCACTGGGACTGTTCCCTGCTCACTATATACAGCAGCCAGGAGATGACAGGTATATATGTCTATGTGTCTCAGAATCAATTTTCTGACTGTCTGCAAATGAGCACTTTAAGTCAAAGGTTCTGTTAGACCTGAAGATAATGCTTTTTACTGATCGGCTTTAAAAAAGAATATTTTGTAAAAACTATTTAATAATAATGATATGATACCCAAGCTTTCAGCTTGTTCCCTTTGTCAGGAATAAATGTCATGGAAAAGACCATTGTATATACATAGATGCAGGGTTATCTTTTTCTTCTGTTATGTACATGCTCTCTCTCTCCATGTCTCCTGTCATGTTTGTAATGGAAGTTTTCTTCAAAAAAACAAGATGTGCTAAACTTATTATTTAAAATCATTAAAGATACATACAAAGTCAATTTTTGTCACAGAAACCAACCAAATGCCAGCATATAGTTTCAAGTAGTATAACTAAGAGAATTACCGAAAGGCATAGTTTAATTTTACCCGAAAATGATGTTTGAACAGATTTTTCTGCTGGTATTCTAAGCTGTATGTCAATGGGGCAGGAAAGTAGGTCACGGAAGTATGTTAAATTTACAACCATAAATTTAAAGAAAGGAGCAGTCTAAAGGTCTTTTATGGCTGATCAAGTGATCTATTCAGTTTATCCCTTGGCACGTCAAATTTATGTGAGTCATATAAGAATCTAGTAGAAGTGGTTTACATGTGTTACTGGGAATCCACGCTCCACCGATGCTCGGTTCGTATGTACCTTTAAGAGATAAACCTTGTATTTTCAAACTTTTAAAATGTGATATCACCGCTGTTTACTTTTCTTCTTTCAGAGTATTCTTCCGTTTTGAGGCTGCGTGGGACAGTTCTCTCCACAACTCTGCTCTACTGAACCGCGTCACTCCATACGGGGAGAAGGTCTACATGACCATCACAGCGTATCTGGAGGTAGGTCTGACCAGACACTAGCCTTTAAGAGCACTTTCAGAATAGAGGACTAACTAGTCTGAGGGTCAAATATGGCCACCTACTACAAAGCTTGCTGTCTAATCCACTAATAGACACTGAATAGATATCCCTTCGGGAAGACATATTTGACCCTCGGACTAGCTAGTCTCCTATTCTGGCTGGCCAACTTGAATGCTTTTTGTGTAATCTCTGCTGGGAATCTATTCACTATCAGGGAATTGCAATCTTTTTAGTGGCTTGCCATATTTGATCGGCAGATTTGTTGGAATAGAACAAAGCACTTACTACTGGTATAATAATAAAAAATTGTTTAATTTGATAATCTTTAGAAACTGAAACATCATTTAAAGCAATTTTTCAGCCAGCCTGTTAGGGGTTTGATTATGTACGTACATACATAAGAGTAAGACCCCATTTCCAGAGATTAGATCGATCTACTTAAGATCGACCTAACTCCCTGGGGGTTCACGCTAAATAGCTGTCAGCCGAGCGGACACGAAAGTTAATTACCTCCTTACAGCTTGTAGTAGGCAGGACGGACATTTAAGCCGGATTATCTGACAGTAATCCAGTGAGACTCCCCGTGGGGATAGATTGATCTAAAAGCTTAAGGAATACAGCCTAAGACTCAAAATCTAAGCTGTATAATAACATCATTATTGTAGGTTGAGAACTGCAGTCAGCCGGCTTGTATCACTAAAGACCTGTGTTTGGTAATCTACGGAAGAGACGCCAAGATCTCAGTGCCAAGGTGGGTGCTAGCACCTCAGCATGTAGGGTGGCTTTTGGTCTTAGTGTCCTTGGTGTTAGG